TTTATATTATAGAACCAACCAGGCTAGTTAGTCATTTAGACTTTTGTTGATTTCAAAGCAGTTGTTCTCGCTCGCCTTAACTAATTGTAGAATATTCCACTACAATATCGAAGCGTTTTGCCTTCCCATCAAATCCCTACAAACCAACACTTGAGTATCAATGAGATGCTCACTAGCGACTTGCTCTATTCACGTAGGTAGTTACTTGGGGTTCTAGTGAGAAGTCGTGACCGGTAGGGTGCAGCAGGTCGGGCGTGAGGACAAATACTCACCGAAGACATTGGCTAGGGGTCGCGCTATGTCGTGAATTGGCAGAGGTTAGAATTCATGGACCATTGGATCGGGTCCCAGTGGCTGCTTAATGGTCTACGAGATCGCTAGTCTTGTAACCAGAAGGTCCTGGGTTCGAATCCCAGTGGGTGCGTACTGATGAAGAGTCCCAAACTAGGACGAAACAGCTGTGCAGTACTCTCAGGTTTTCCAATGGTTCTCTAACTAATGTCAGCTCATGATGAAAATCCTGTTCCCATCTTTTTTTTAACAGACTACACATAAATATTATGAATAATGATTAAGCTTTCTTTTTGTTGTTGTCGTTGTCCCGAATGAATCAAAGTGATATTGGGGATCATAAAAGGTGAAATGACCACTTTTCTTTTCTTTTTTTCAACAGTGAATAACCTTCAGAAAGCTTTTTTAATACTAATACTATGCGAAGATATCTCATTTATAAAAAGCATACGTGGAATATTTCTTCGACACCCACACCACCCACGCACCCCCACACACGCATACACATACAAAGAGAGATGCGAAGAGAATTCACTTAACAGATCCATAATCAGAATTGATCTAATGCATTTCTAATGTAGTTTAGTGATTATTATTTGCCTTGGGTGAGTGAATATATTCCACATAAAGAGACTGAGAGAGAGAGAGACTGAGGAACGCTGCTTCACAAAGGAAGATAACAGTCATAAATATATATATGACGCGGACGATGATAGTGATAACGTTGTTGATAATAAGCACACATTGGGGAAATCTGAAGATATCTATAGAAATCCTGTCAAATGATGACAAGGGGGAAGGGGGGGTATGGGGAACTGGAATGCTGAGGTGTCCAGTGAGTGGGTGGGTGGGTGCGTGGGTGGTTGGAAGGGGTCAATAGGATGGAAAATTATTTAAGACACGTGACTTATACTACTAATACTAATACTAATACTAACGGCCACTTTTAGATAACAGTGGCAAAACAATGAAGCACAGCACAGCACAGAACAGAACAGAACAGAAAATCACAACCCAGTACACAATACACCCCATCCATATATGAATGAAGAATGTTCACCATTGTATTCTAGAAATATCTTTCCTCTATGTAAGGAGGAAACGAATAATTGAGACAGATCAGTAGGAAATCAGAGACGCATAGACAGAGAGTGAGAGAGAGTGCGCGCGCACGCGAGTGTGTATATGTGTTTGTGCTTATGCCAGAGAAAGAGAGACAGGAATAATTTGCTTCCGTTTTCGGTAGCTGTATACCCTTTATTTTTTATTTATTTATTTTTCAAAGAGGAGTTAAAAAGGTGTCTGATTTACATTCATCAATAAAAATGCATTTTTGATTCAATAAAATGATGAAGTTCCTCTCTTCCCTCTCTTTTTTCTGTTGAACAAAGAAGCAAGTATATTCCATTATCTACAATATATAGATATATGTATATAAATACATAGATGGATAAAGCATTAGAGGTTTAAAAGAAAATTGATCATATATAGAGAATACAGACACCAGCCGACAAACAAGGTAAGGCGCCTAAATCAAGTATTTTTGGATCAGGAAGAGAAAATGAATGTGAATTAGGATGACCTACATTGACTAAAGATGAAAAATGTGAATTAAAAAGGAAAGAGAGAGAGCGAGAGATAGAGACGTAGAATGTATGTATGTTACAATAAGCATGAAGAAAGGAGCAAAACTGATTAGCTGTCAGAAGGAATTTTAGAGTGCTTTTCCTTTCCATTAACCATCATGACACAAAGGCACACACACACAAACAAACTGGGTGTATTTTTAAAAAAAAGGAAACCTAACTGGTCAATAGTAGACAAAAGTACATCCGCGGTTCAATCAACTTGTCAAGTTCTCTTTTATTTATTTATTTTTAATGTATAAGATACCTGTATTATTTATTGTAAATAATAAAGAAACATTAGGATACATTTGACTTGATGAATCAAGAAAATAGTAGTAACAGAAGTCCAATTGCTTTTAGATGATTCACATAATGATGAAGAGGTTAAAAAAGCAGCTCTCATTTTTCAGTCGGTCGGTCAGTCGGTTTTCGACATAGAACTTTGCACATATGTGCGGCAGTTCAAGTCACCACACGCCCTCCATGTAGCACACAAAGCAAGAGAAGAAAGTAGAAGAAATGTATAATATAGTCAGTAAACAGAGGTGTGAGACAAAGGAATAGTAATAACGGAGAACAAAACAGTTTCATTGGAAATCATAAGTCACAAGGAGTGGATGCATCTGCGCTAGCCATTGAGAACGATTTTGAGCCATTTCACCAATTGTTTCCAACCATTGGTTTTTACCGTCCCGAGGACCCCAACCAGTCAGGAAGTCTACATCTTCCTACGTGGCTTAGACTAACTGTTGTAGATTTCATTGACTGATGAGGCCATGTTTTGGTTTGACCACCGCTAGCTCTTTTCCAGCCTGACCCTATATCAGCTAACATTGCCCATCAGTCGAGGAAGGCGATGACTAGGCATACGTAATACATGTCCTAACCATCTCAGTCGATGTAATTTCACAGTCTCGTCGACTGATTTCCCCTCCTTACCTACCACTCGACCAATGCCTAACCTCAATATTGCTCACCTTATTATACCACTTCACGCGGGAGATAGAACGCAGACACCTATGATCGAAGACAGCTAATCTTTTCATGTCTTCTGCTCTCAGTAGCCAGGTCTCACAGCCACAAAGGAGGACGGAGCGGACTGTTGAGCAGTACACACGCCCTTTGCTCGATAGTCGGATATCGCGTCTACGCCAGAGACGGTGTAAACTGGCATATGCGAACCTAGCCCTCTGTATTCGTGCTGAGATTTCGTCGGAGATCAACCCGTTGGGGCTGATGGTACTTCCCAAGTAAGTGAAGCGGTCAACGTGCTCTACCACTTCACTTCCTATTTCTAATCTAGGGGTCGGTGAAGTCCAATCCTGCAACATCATCTTACATTTTACAGGCGCGAATCGCATGCCAAACATACGAAGATTGTTGCTCAAGGTGTTTAGTAGACTCTGCATTTTGTCAGCGTCCTCGCCTAGAAGGACTATATCGTCCGCATATTCTAAGTCGACGAGATTATTCCCTGGTAGCAAGTCAATCCCTGAGTGGCTGAAGTGTGTTAGGGTTAAGTCCATTAGTACGTCTATGACGAAGTTGAATAGAAATGGGGATAATGGACATCCTTGAAGGACGCCACTAGTTGTCACCACTTCAGATGACAACTCGCCATAAGCCCTCACTTGGCTGCATGAGTTCGAGTAGAGTGCCTTGATCAGTGCAATGTATTTTCTCAGCATTCCCTTAACAACCAAGCATCGCCAGAGGACCTCTCGATCGACAGAATCGAAAGTCACCTTTAGGTCAAGAAATATAACGATTGTTGGACGGCGGTAAGAATGCCTATGTTCTAGAATCTGTCGAAGGGTGAAGATATGACCAATACACCCTCTCCCTGGCCTAAAGCCTGCCTGGTTTTCTCGTGTTCGTGCCTCCCGAGCACCACTTAGTCTACGCAGTATTATTGAGCCTAGGATTTTAGATACTATATTAGTCAAGCTAATCCCTCTGTGATTATCACAAGAGGACTTGTCTCCCTCCCTTCTTGTACATCGGGATGATCAATAACTTACACCAACCCGATGGGACTTCCTCTGATTCTCAGATGCTGCCTAGAACCTCAGTTAACGCAGACAGTAAACTGTCTCCACCGTACTTTTCAGTGGTGAAATGCTCCTCAACAACGCACGTAGTTCGAGAAGTTCAATTGTCGGGGCTCTCTTAGCCTGAAATCAGCCTGGTAAAGAGAGAAGAAACAAAAACCCAGCCACTACTTAAACTTTAGAGCTTAGACTTGAAGACATCGCCTCAGAACGCAGAAGAGCGAAGAAAAATATTGGACACTACTCAGTGGTGTTTGCATTTGTAATGATAATCACATAAACAGGTGGATTTCGACGCTCAACTTGTAGGTTGATGGAGGACTACTCCTACTATTCTTGGTAGCCTCTGGTTTGAATTCTAATTCATCTTCGATTATAACCCATTGACATTACCAATAACAGTCTTCTAACTCAAGTCACTTTTATTGCATAAAGCTTTCCTGATCATTACTGATTTTGACCTACATCACTTTTATTATCTTGCTATCCTCCCTACTGTGAATACTATAAACTCAGTTGCACTCATAATGGTTTCTTCCGAATTTCTACTTGCTCTCTCTCCCTCTCTTTTCTACCTTCGTGTGTAGGTAGCAACTTGAATTGCCCTACTTCTGTGCCGCAAAAATGTTTTCTATGTTGAAAGTCATTCACTGACATTCAATCAAACTAAATTCTACCGATTGTTATCACTGTAACGGGTTCTGGCAAAAAGGTTGGCGGAGCGGGGAAGGAGTTTTGCGTGTCGGTGGGGTGCGGCGGTAAAATTCTTGCCAACCATGCGTATGATCTGAGATCCGAGACCCGACCGACGAACTCCTAAACCGGAGTAGTAAGCACAGGGTAAAGAGAGAAGGTTCGGTGTCAGATTGGCAACATCTCATCGCTGTTATTGAAACTTCAAAGGTGAGGCTTGAAGCCCGACGTGATACACTCAGAAGGTAAAGGATTGAAATAGTAAGAAAAATATAATCACTTCACTCTGAACTAATATACATAAAGTATAAACTAAAATGAATTACATTCAACTTACTTTCACTGGCGATAGCATTATTCTTCATATGTATTGTAGGCGGACTAATTAACAAATGATCCACTGGTGGTTTTGAATTCAGAAAATAAACGGAAGCATTTTCGAAAGCCTGAAACCAAAACAGGAAACAGTAATATAACATATTATATATAAAGTTACAAGAATAAACTCAAAGAAAGTTTCATGATGGTAAGCTTAAGCTTATATTTTCCGCACAAACGGTTATGCTTCCTCAAGTGAAAGATGAAGTAACTAGACTAGTTATCCCTAATTGTTTCTATCAGTTCACCTAGTCCTGTGCAGCCAGTTATACTGTCAATTAGTTACCCTAGGAACCTAATTTTTCGTGCTCGGGAACACCTACCAGTCAGGAGAAATAAAGGTGTTGTTAAAACCGTCAACAGTTCTACAGCATATCACCTCGTCCAAACGGGCCACAAAGCTGACTAGCATTGAAGAGTATTTCTCTATCATCGTCTATTGGGTATCGGATAAATTAGCAAAGACCTCAGATATCGAATACTCGAAACACCAGTGGCCACTGCAATTAGCTTAAATTATCCAGAGTTCTGCGTGCAATTATCGCACATACTGGTCAGCTGGGAAACCTGTGAATTCACAAATTCTTTGTGTTACTACTTCCCTTAATCTATCTGATATGCCGCACCCCAAATATTCATCAACCTTATTCAACAGCTGTACGACAACGGCACATGTCAAGTGATCCACAACGGAAAACTCAGCGAAGCGTTTGGAGTAAACACAGGAGTCAGACAAGGGTGCTTATTATCACCAATGATATTCCTAATTGTGGTGGACTGGATTATGCGTCAGACAGTGGGAAACGAGAAGACAGGGATATCCTGGACCGACGTGAAGAACCTAGAAGACCTGGATTTCGCGCGTGGATGATTTATGTTTGATGTCACACAAAATCGAAGACTTACAAGCGAAAACCGACAAACTGGTCGAAGAAGCAGCCAGAGAAGACAGGACTCCAGGTGAACATAGACAAGACGGAGGTTATCAAAATAAACAACCAACAACAACAGCAACATCCAGCACCAATCACCATCAACGGGAGGGATTTGAAAGAGGTTACTTCTTTCACTTATCTAGGGAGCATTGTCTCAACTACAGGCAGAAGGAACGGACGACGATGTCAAATCGAGAATCGGGAAGGCGACAAACACATTCATCAACCTGAAACCAATCTAGGAATCTTCGTCACTCAGCCTGCATCAACAACAAAGTGATTCGGATTTTCAATACAAACGTCAAGTCAGTCAGTTCTTCTATACGGATCAGAAACTTGGCGGGTCACAAAGAACATTTCCAGACCTTTATCAACAGCTGTCTTCGCTCTATACTGAAGATCAGATGGCCGGAAAGAATCACCAACAAGAAACTATGGGAACAAACAAAACAAGAACCAATCGCTCAACAAATATGCAGGGGAAAGTGGAGATGGATTGGACACTCGCTGAGGAGGCCGCTGAGTGACATCGCGCGTCAGGCCAGTGCTCGAATGGAACCCGAAAGGGAAGCGGCGAGTGGGACGTCCCAGGGTGACATGGAGGAGATCGTGTGAAGAGGAACTGAAACAGTATGGATTAACATGGATGCAAGTGAAAAGTACATTTGAAGACAGAAGCAAGTGGAGACGTGTAGTTGAAGCCCTATGTTCCACTAGGAACCCCAGGGAACAATAATAATAATAATCTGATATGCGATCAATATAGTGTTAGTTTAAAGCATATTATCTCTCTGTCTCTCTCTTCCTGGTACTTTTGAAATGTGAACATTCGATACTACTGATTGTTTCACTGTAATTTAAAACAGCATTAATGTTATTTAATTCAGTATTTTAGAATTTCCCGTCGATTGATTGAACCGAAGTGCTCCTCAGTCTCAGGTTGACATGTCTGGGTTCAAGCCTCGGTGGAAACACATCATCACAGTCACTGAGGAATGCGGACACATCCAGATGACGAGTCCCAAATAGGACGAAATGCACGTTATCCTGCATTCCACTGCTAGTCACCATCCACCAATTAGCAGCATTAATGTTGTTAATAAGAATATTTCTTTAGTGATTATGACCGCAATAATGTAGAATCTGATGAAGAAGAAGAAGAAGAGGTTTATTGAAAAGAATTTTCTTTTTCTCTATTTCCTTGAAATGATCGGTTTTGAATCTCTCTCGTTAATTCCTTTTAATTGGATCAGTCCTCGTACGGAAGCTTCGGCCATGCCTTAAAGGCAGTATGCTTATTTAGGAATGGTCAGTTGGTTGTAACACCTGCAGTCCAATGACTCAGTGTTGACATTCCCACTAAGATCGAAATCGCAGAGTTGGATTATGCCTTGGTGTTTGAAACAATAGGTACTGAATTTGAATTTCACTAAGAAACAGGTCACTACTCACAGGATTGGGTAGGTATATCCATCCAGATGATGAGTCTTCACTCGGGAGAAATGCGAGTATTGGATTCCACTGGTATCTACCTTAATAATCAAAATGTTTCTATTACTAATTACTATCGGATAGCACTCTGAAGAATATTCTTGGAATGGAATTTTACGGAACAGTTGAGTATCGTCTCCTATTAGGTTCAACATATTGTACGATCAAACCACACTGAAGTATTGGTTTGTAGGGATTGAAGATTGATCTGATGTGTACTAGCGACTGGTTCTACATTCAGGCAGTTACCTGAGGTTCTAGTGGGAAACTGTGACCAGTAGGGCGCAGCAAGTCGGCTGGTGTGAGGACAAATACTGGCCGAAGACATTGGCTAGTGGTCACGTTATGTCGTGAATTGGCTGGCGGAAATTAGAATTCATGGACTGACCATTGGATCCGGTTCCAGTAGCTTATTGGTCTATGAGCTCACTAGCCTTATAACCAGAAGGTCGTGGGTTTGAACCCCTGTGGGGAGCGTGCACTGATGAAGACTGCCAAACTAGTCTGACGAAACAGTCTGTTGTCCAATACTCCCTGGCAAGTTTTCCAATGGTTCTCTAATCGAAGTCAGCTGGTGATGAAATCTTCCAACCAATCAAACAACACTTAGTAATTACTAAAAAATTTTCACAAACATTCTAGTAATTATATCACGTTCCTATTTCAAGCCTTCCTGTTTAGAATCTTTGATATTCAATCATGAATTTTTCATGATTACAGCTTTACAAGAAAGTGAATTGAAGTATTCTTCAAGAAAATCACAGATCTGAAGTCAGGAAAGCATTCACAACACAACCTGTCCAAAAAAAAGTTGGCGTCATTTTTATGGAATGTAAAGCATTTCATCTAGCGGCCAATTTGAATCACATGGCTACCTGAATTTTCCATCTTCAACACAATGTATCATCATATTTTGTCTAACTCTTTAACCATTTAGTAATATGCGTGAGTTGAAAAATCTACTACTCACGGACATTTTTGACTGACTTTCAAACTACCGGTGAGAATGTCTTGGAGATGAAGCAGAGGTGTCATTAGGAATTAATTAGTCTTTGCTACAAAGATATTCCATAGAGTGGCACTTTTACTTTATAGATTCCGGATTAAGAGAAAAGATTATACAAAAAGCTACACTGTGAATTCTGTTCACTATAGAAACATTCTATCCCGAAGAAAGCTTTTATTATTATTATTATTATTATTATTATTATTATTATTATTATTATTATTATTGTTAAAATGCACATAATTTTAAAAACTTTTCACTGGTGACTATAACATATTACGCAGGATGTTAAAGGTTGTCAGCAGCGTAAGCAATGTGCCACTTAACCAGCTTGTTAATATTCTGGTCGACAGGCACATGGACTCATGTGAAAAATGGGCCAAATCCATCTTATCTAACTCACACCACCCTCTTCACTCACAACTCTCCCCTTGCATCTCATCAGGTAAAACCAGAAGCCTACATAGAAAACTATATGCTCGCACCAGCAGCTACAAAGACTCAATCATAACCTACTTAGCTCGTGTTCTGTGTGATAAAGAAAGCATTAGGGGTGACACCTATAATTCATTAAATAGTCAGTAGTATAACTGGATCTCGTCTTTCCAACTCATATCATTTATAGGTACAACGTTTTCTTTCTTTCTTTTCCTTTTCTCTCTCTTCTTTTTCCGTTATGTGCTGCATTGTTTCTTTCTCTCGCTAACACCGGTATATATGATAGCACCTACTTTTCTAACACCTTCAAACACTGTTCAACTTTGGCTTTCCTACCGACATGCCAATGTGTTGTTGTAATAATGAACTGAGATTTCCTTAATCTTTGTAGAATTCTATTTATTGATAATGTACTAACTGGATGCAATACTGTAGTAAAAATGCTGAGAATTCCATTCTGTATCACATGTACTGTTTTGGAATAAAGCAAATTATTATTATTATTATTATACGACATTTGAACTCCAACTTATCGTCATTCCCTTGACTAAATGCATAAGGATATAATGTAATCGAAAGTGAACTTCAAAATACTATGAATTAAGGTCAGTTTTGAGATGCCTTGGAAATAATAATAATAATAATAGCCTAAACAACCAATCTCTAGATTAGAAATCAATAAATAGCATTACATGATAGAACAACTGAGATTCAATGTCGTTGGAGAGTAACCGTGACAACATACGATTTGTTCATCGTAAAATTACTCACTGATATGTATTCAAGTGAAATTTTTTTGACCTCAAAACATTTTTTTTCTCTTACTCTTTAGAAGACAGTGAAATTCCTTTTCTGTTCATGTATCCTAGGTGGTGGTAACGTTCTTATCTTAGTACTGCTCATATATTATAATAAATATTTATCGTTGTGTGTTTTTCTTCTTCTTTCCAGTGAGTGGTATTCATCTCTTTTAAGTTAAATCATTTTAATGACGATTTTCTCCTTCTTCTTCTTTACTTATGAACTAAAGTCTGTGAATACTACTCATTGGAAACTAAAAACTGATGTTCACTGGCAACTGGCCCTATATTCAGGCAACTAGTTACCTAGGGTTCTAGTGGAAAGCTGTGACCAGTAGGGTACAGCAGGTTCAACCAGGTGAGACAGTAACTCATCGAAGATATTTCGCGAAGTGGTCGTGCTATGTGATGAATCGGTAGAAGTTGGAATTCATGGACTTGCCATTGAATCGGGTCCCAGTGGCTGCTTAATGGTCTGTGAGCTCTCTCGTCTTGTAACCAGAAGGTTATCGGTTTGAACCGTAGGGGTGGGTAAAGAGTCTGATACTAGGCTGACGAAACATTCGGCTGTACAGTACTCCATGCAGGTTTCCCAATGGTTCTCTAACCAATGTGTCACCTCATGATGAAATCCTCCAACCAACCAACCAACCAAGTAATCAAAATCCTTAGGAAACCAATACTTAAGAATGGTTCATCCTGAAGAGAATACAAATCAGCCTGCTTTGGACCAGATTACTTTAGGGTTTCATATTTTTCTGGGCATCTGAATAAATTTCAGTGTAGATTCGTTACGAAGCAATACCATATGAAGATCATCTGTGATCAGGAAGCATTGAAAAGCTGTTTTGTCCTAGTTTAGATCTTTTCAACAATGTGTAACCACGACCCAAGCCTGGATTGGATCCGAAACCTTCAGGTTATTATGATATGAGGCACGTTGGCCAGTGAACTATATCATGAATTAACCAAGTTAGAATTGTGACCCAAATGTCGGAATAGTCATAAAACTAGGCCCTATAGTCGGAATGTTCTGGGTCCAATCGCTGATGGGATCGTGGGTGATCACCGCTAGATAGAGTTTATCAAGAAACAGAATATCGTTTGGAGAACTACTATTCAGACCAAGAAAGCCCTGAACAGTTGTGTTTAATCCAAGTGTTTTCCGGACTCTTCTAGTGAAGTGAACCAACTTATTTTCGTTCCATCGATAGACTAGGAATTCCCTAGAGTGGATTTCCTTAATGAAGATAAAGCTCAGTTGGGATTGTAGAGTATATGGAATTAGTTGTGTTCTCTTAGGAGCTGGTTCATTTTATTGCGGACGTTTCGTCATCCTTCTAGACAACATCTTCAGCGCAGGTTTTAGTATCGAATGAACTCACTTAAGAGAATTGACTGCGATATTGTCGAAATTTTAAATAAAGGAGAGACCAGAAATACTACCAGGGAATTCCTAGAAGCCTGGAACTCAAGTGAATTAGCAATTAACAAACACATTATTATAGACCGAATTCACCAGCTAATAAAAAGTAAATCACATAAGAAGAAAGTTAGAATTCCAAGTGAATAAAAACGATCAATATAGACGAGGATTTCAAAGCGAGGATCGGGAAAGCAAGGCGAGCTGTCAATTCTCTCAAGTATGTGTGGAGGTCAACAGCACTCAGCATGACAAAGAAAATGAGATCCGGATTTTCAACTCCGATGTAAAGTCAATCAGTGCTACTATACGGGTCAGAGACATGGCACTGCGTCACGAAAGGTACTTCGAACAAACTACAAACTTTCATCAACAGCTGTCTTCCATCAATGCTCAAGGTTAGATGGCCAGAAAAGATCAGCAGCAGGAAGGAATCTCTGGGAGAAAATCAACCCAGAAGAAACCAACTGTGTAACAAAAATGTAGCAAGAAATGCAGGTGGATTGGCCATAATCTGAGAAGACAAACCACAAGTGGAATCTATCACACGCTAGGCCATCGCTCCAGTGGAACCCGAATGGGAAGTAACGAGTTGTTCGTCAGTGTGAGGGTGACATGGAAAAGTTCATGTGAAAAGGATATTACAGCTTGTGGGCAGACGTGGAGCGAGGTGATGAAAACGTTGGCAGAGAACCGAACGCAATGGAGACATGCGGCTGAAGTCCTATGTTCCTCTAGGAATTAAAGGAGACAATAATAATAATAGACTTAAACTAACAACCAGTCACGGCAGTGGTCGCCAGGAGATGCAACTACATCATTATTAATGGAGAATTGAAATAAGTCAATTTTATACTAAAACCTGCTCTGAAAATGTTGTCTAGAAGGATGCAGACGAAAGCTTATCAATTAAATCAACCAGCTCCTCAGAGAACACAACTCATTCATCCATCCACCTGAACTACAAATCTTCTCTGTCGTAGAGTATGTTATAAAGATTTTATAATAAATGCACATTAGTCCCTTATATGTTGTAATACGAAATGGCAGATTTTGAAAACAAAAATTACGCTCACAGAAATTTATTTTTCAAATATAATATATCAGACTTACTCGAATAGGATTATTGTCCAAACTGTAAGGGAAAGAAATCAACAGAAAAGTGTTAGGATGGTGACTCTAATAATAATAATAATAATGATGAAAGCTGTATTCTGAACTGTATATTTATATACAGTGCGGAATTTCCAGACTGGTTTTATCTACTCCTATATTCAACTTACTTTAACCCCCAGCATATTTGTTCCCTATACAAACAGACCATGTGGTATGTTGGGAAGTTGCATCATCCGGCGCCAACGGGTTGATCGCTGACGAAATCTCAGCACGGATACTGAAAGCTAGTTTCTCATATGCCAGTTTAAGCCGTCTCTGGCTTAGTAGACGTGATATCCGGCTGGCTATCGACCAAAGGGCGTGTGTACTGCTCAGCAGTCCACTCCAACCTTCTTCATGGCAGTGAGTCCTGGTCATTGAGAGTGAAAGACATGGAAAGTCAGTCTAGCTGTCTTTGATCATAGGTGTCTGCGTTCTATCTCCTGTGTGAAGTGGGATAAAAGGGTGAGCAATATTGAGGTTAAGCATTGGTCGGGTGCTAGATAGGTGGGAGGGGAAATCAATCGATGACGAGGTTGTGAAGCTACATTGGCTGAGACGGTTAGGACATGTGTTACATAAGAAGGTGGATACTATACATCTTTGGAATCCTTGAAACTGTTAATGATATGGTTCAAAGTCGTCCTCACCTAATCTTTGGGATCATCTCTGGAGATTCATTAAATCCTTACTATTCTTCGTGGGATTATTTGTTCCCCCCAAGCACTTTCGTTCATTACAGTTTTGTTTTTTTTAAATCTGGGACTTTTGTGAAATGCGACAACTTAAAAACTGCGACACTTTTGGGCACAGCATTACGTTGAAAGTTAAGGTCAATCCTTCCAGTAATTCCCTAGGTAATGTTGAGAGAAAAATACCCTTTTCAGAGAGTATCACTGCATCAAGGTTTAGAATTCTTAAACCTAAGTGTTAGTCTTCTTAAATCTTAACTGTAGTTGTGTCCGTATGTATTCTGTCCCGACTTCAGTTAGAAAACCAGCTGTTTTGTCCTTATTCGAGACTCTTCTTCAGTACGCACTGCTTCGCCTGTGGGAGATCCGACCCACAGCCGTCTGGCTACAATGAGAACTTGTTGACCATTCACTCATTCGGATGGAATCCAGTAGCCAGCGCATCAACTCAAAATGGTTCCAAATGACAATATTTGGCCCAACCACCAGCCATTGGCATCAACGAGCATTATTTGTCCTCTGGTCACGACTTCTCACTAGCACTCCAGGTAACATCCTGTATAACGGCCAGCTGCTAGTGAGCATCAAATCAATTATCAAGTTTTTGGTTTGCATGGATTTGATTGATTAGTCGAAATAAGTTAGAGAACCATTGAAAAACCTGGGAGTATTCGACAAATGTTTCGTCCTAGTTTTGGACTCCACATTAGTATGAATCCAACGAGATTCAAACCAAGGCCCACTTTCGAACCGTTTAGCCACTGGGAGGGACCCAACTCAATAGCCCATGAATTCCAACTTCTGCCGATTTGCTATATTTATATATACTGAAGAATCCAAGCATGGGACGAAACAGCCTTCCAGTACTTCCTAGTTTTTTCAATCGTTCTCCAGATGACTTTGACTCGAAGTTTCACCTGTAACCAATCAAATCCTTGTAAAACTAACATTCAATCAAGTTTAGTTTACATGTGAAGGAGACTTTGCTAATTTTCTAATGACAGAGAAATATATATATTTTTTCATCTAAACATTTTATAATTGTTTTTACGAGTTGATCACGGACTGATATCAGTTAGAGAACCATTGAAAAAACAACACAGGGAGTACTGGACAGCTGCTGTTTCATCCAGCTAGTTTGGGAATCATCGGCATAACGCAGCCACAGAGTGGGGTTCGAACCCAGGACCTTCTGGTTACAAGGCAAGCTGGCTCGTATACCATTCAGCCACTTGGACCCGACTCAATGGCTCATGAATTCTAACTTCTACCAATTCGTGATTCCCAAACTAGGATGAAACAGCAGCTGTCCAGTACTCCCTGTTTGGTTTTCAATGGTTCTCTAACTGATATCAGTCCGTGATCAACTCGTAAAAACATAACTAATCCTTACAAACCAAACTATAGAAAAATTATTCTGATGCTCGCTAGTGACTTGCTACAGGTTGGAGCTTCCTGCAGTTCTAGTGAGAAGTCATGACCAGTGAGGTCCAATTAGAAGTCACGTGTGTGGATGGATGTCTCACCAACGACAATAGTTGGGGTCGCGCTAAAATCACGAATTGGTAGAAGTTAGAATTCATGAGCCATTGAATCGGGTCCAAGTGGCTGAATGGTATACGAGCCAGCTTGCCTTGTAACCGGAAGGTCCTGGGTTCGAACCCCACTCTGTGGGTGCGTATTGCCGATGATTCACAAACTAGCTGGATGAAACAGCAGCTGTCCAGTACTCCCTGTTTGGTTTTCAATGGTTCTCTAACTGATATCAGTCCGGGATCAACTCGTAAAAACATAACTAATCCTTACAAACCAAACTATAGAAAAAATTTTACAATTGATAATAAACAATTATAATTTTATATATAGCTACTGTCATTATAAATGAAATGGAATGAAATGACCTCATTTGGAAAAATAATTTTTTGATTGATGTATCTACGTTTTGTATACACATGTGCATATACGACAGAGTATTTATTAATCGTTTTACTCTTAAGAAGGAAGCAGCTATCAGGTATTACGTAAGAACATATGAACACACTTCTACACACATGCACGCTAATTGTGCTACACATACGATAGACAATCTTAGAGAAAAACGACATTATTAGTAAAATGAAATCATATAGTTTACGTCATTAGGAGTATTACTATTATTATTATTATTATTATTATTATTATTATTATTATTATTATTATTAATATAAACATTATTGATGACATCTGGTAATATTGGCAGTAATTAGTAGGAGTAGTTGAAATTTGTGGGCCCTTCAGCTTTTTAGTGCATTTGTGCCAATTTGCGTGTGTGTGCGCATGTATCAACTTTCGAAGATATTTTCACGAAAAACGAAGTGATCAGAAATCTTGATACTAGTAGTAGTAGTAGTAGTAGTATAGATGGACAGTAAAGATAAGCAGATAGACAGATAGGTAGGTAGGTAGGTAGGTAGGTTGCTAGGTAGGTAGATAGATAGATAGATAGATGTACTACTTTTTATGTGTACTACTTATAATACAACGCTTCAAATTGTCTAAGAGAATGCCAAACAAACGCATATAAAAGGTTTTTCGAAATCCAATGAATTCATATAAACACATCCATATTTGTTTCTGCCTGCCTATATATGATGTGAAAAGATGATTGTTCCCTTTGAGACTGTGAATTACTATTGTTTATATTAAGTAGTATATATACATACAAATTGTATGAGAGGTATATATTTAATTATATGTGCGTTTAGAGCGATGATTTCATTCAAATGGTGTTTGTTGATGACAAAACTCTTGATGAAGGAAGAGTGACTACTACAAAGAGTTACACACTCTCCTGATACCAACACCCACACACCCACACACACGTACAGATAGACAGTCAGACAGTAGTCAGATGTGCATATCTCTACAGTGATAATATATTAAAATTTAAATTGTTAACATCACACTTGTCTGATACTGATTGTATATACAAATGTTTATATTTAAAGACTAGTAAATTTAAATAGTTTGAAAATTGCACCTTATTAGCTAATTAATTTGCGTTTTGCAAGTTTTATATGCCTAAGAAAGACTGAACACATTTTTAATGTGGTTACTACTTTGTGTGTGTGTGTGAGCATTGTTTATTGATAAGAATATGAATCTAAAACCAAAACAGTCCAAGTTACCAACAGTTCCAAAGAAAGCCTTGTTCTTATAGATGCAGTTCCTAGGAGACAATACAAGTGAGATACTAACACATCGCCTCAGAAATTCGGTTAAAAGAGCATTCCCTGCTGCTCAATTACGCTGTATCTGTAAGACCACTCCTCCTCTGCGTTCGGGAATAAAAGACAAACTGCCTAATTTCGCCTCTTCCATGTGTATGTACCAATTTAACTGCTCCTGTGGAGCCAGTTACATAGGCCGTACAATTAGGCGTGTTTCTCGTCGAATTTCCGAACATCACCCTGCACAGTGGTTGGTTAAGCAAAGGTCAAACAAAATCTATTCGCAGCGCTATTGTGGCGCATCTTGTGGAGACAGAACACAAGATTGACGTTAATCATGCTTTCAGGGTCATTTACCGCATACCTACGAATCTCAATTTCGCTTTAAGAGTTCGACTTCTAAATATTGCTGAGGCTGTGGGGATTCATATTAATAAGCCTAATTTATGCATCCAAAAGAAGTGAGTTCAGACATTATCATTACCTTGGCCATCCAGGTTTGAATAATCCAGAATTTTCGTGAAATTTCCCTAATTTTAGTTGATATTCTATTCGCTGTTATATCTTTATTATTATTGTAATTTAAGCATCTTTAATGAACTGTAATAGCATTGAACATACTTTATAAATTGATATTATTTATAAACGCTAATATTGATATTAACTACTAATTTAAAATATTCTGTGTATATAAACATACAGATATATAATTGTAGAGCCTGGAAGATGAATTTATCGAAAAGAATATTCTTTGCTCGATTATTTTGTGTTTTATAAAATTATTTAGTGTGGTGGTGGTGACGAGTTGTGGAGTCCAGGATGCGATTTTCATCCTATTCGAGACTTTTGATGTATTGAATAACGCTTTTGGTGTATGAAACGAAGGCTTCTAACTTCGAGTCCCAATGGGAACATCCCCACAACTCAGTGGGGATGAAATCCTGGCATCCTGGATTCCACTGCCACCACACAAACACACACACACACACATAATCAGTCAACGGATAAGACTAATCGCTATGGGGTTTCCGCGCGCATAAATATCCCATTTGCGTAAAAAATGTCGAAAGGACACTTTT